TGCCCTTGTGTGTCAAATATTTTTTTGTTGTGTGCGCGTTTGTTAATGTTTGAACAATGTCGCACCCGATGTGCGGCCCACTCTGGCCCGATTAGCTTATATGACAGAAATGTGCAGGGCCTCAATTTTGGAATTTTGTGTGCGCGACGTTCAAATAATGTTTATTTTGGGAATATTTTCCGTAGTTCTCTCGAACTGCACCTGGAGCTTGGGAGAAATTTCGCGCCTGCCACAATGATGACGAAATTGGGCTGGCGCGAGCGGGAAAACGTTCTTAGACGGGCGGGGGTTACTTCTACTGACCATTCGTGGAACTTTTTTCCTACAGTTTCTGACTAACCGTGGAACCCGACTGATGAAACATGTTGCGAACTCGCTAATTCTGATTGTTTATATTGCGTCACTGATCGTACATATTATCGCGGCCCCTCAGTAATACTGAGCCTCGATGTACTTTCCCCTGGGAAAATGGGTTATCTGGAAATTCAGGTTTGCACATTACACCGGTCTGAGATACCGTATTCCCCCGTATATAAGACCCGCCAAAATAGTCAACCCATGGGTGGCATATGCGGGGGATAGCTTATGATATGGTGCATTTTTTAGAGCACCCACGTTTTTTAGTACGAATTTTACATAACACCCTCCATCGGGGATTTGTGGATTTGCTTGGTCTAGCATCAAGGTTTTATCATTAGACAACCGTTTTAACACTAGTCTAAAGCCTATCCATTGTGCGAGGCATTTCTAGTGCATTTTCGATTACCTAAGCTAGCTACATGTCCAATCAGGGTAAGTTAATAGTTAGTCTCTGTCTTCGTCCTCATCGTGCCAGTCCTCTCCTGCATGCCACACCTCGGCATCTTCATCGTCACTGGCGATGTCATCCCAGTCAAAGTCATCAGTCCAGCGGGATGCAGCCAAGCCCGCCAGAACCTCCGCCGCAGGCATCTCTAGACCTTCGTCACCTTCGACAGCTGATATCCCAGCCTCTGTCGCTGCTTCTGTAGAGGTTGTTGCTGCTGCTGCTGCTGTGCGGGCTCCTGGATTCCCAGACGCCTCTGATGCTGGCGCGGGTGTTGCAGCTCCAGATGCACCGGATGATGAGGCACTTGCTGCAGCTTCAATCTCCGCCTTGACATCGGGATCGTCTTCCTCCGAGCTCGGCGTGGCGCTCGGCTCCACATATTCCGACTCGTAGTATGGGTTCAGCGCCCCACTCTCTTCCATTTCGGCATGGACATCTTCCATGACTTCGACCTCGGCGCCGTCCCGCATGTGGGCGAGGATCACCTCGTCCTCTGTGCCATCGGTCGCGTTGGAAATGCAGCACGTCTTGAACGCGCGGTGGATGAGTTCAGCTGGCACCGCGGCCCAGGCGTCGGCAATCCACTGCAGCACGAGCTCGGCTGGCGGCTTGTGAAGATTCCCTGCAGGGGAAAACAAAACGACGAAACAGTAGGCGGGGGCTTTAGGAGTAGTGGTGGAGAAATGCAAGGCATGGTTTAAAAAATCACGACACGGGTAGAGGTTTTAAAGACAAAGAATAAAGACGTTACTCACCTGCAGGGGTTGTGGACTCGCAGCCGAATTCTTCGAACCACTCTTTGTAGGACCTCCGGACATGCGCCTTGACGCACCAGTTTACCGCCACGTCTAGAGGCTGCACGATAGGCGTACAACCGCCGGGGATGACAGCCCTCGACAGCTTGAAGAGTCGCATCAACTGGGACACTCCCTCCGTCACGTGTCCCTTGTACGAATCGAGGACCACCAGAGCCTTCTGACGGCCACCGCGCCGCGAGGGTATCGAGCGGAGAAACGGCACCAGGACGGTGGTGACCCAGTCCTTGACATGGGTCTCGTCCATCCACCCTTTCTCCTGGGCCTTGATCACAATTCCTGCACAAGCGCAAGGTACGAGACATATGAGTTTGCCCTGGAAAGACAGCTACGAAAAACATTAGCGATGGCGGCACAAAAAAAGGCACGAAATCCTTACCGGGCGGGACGCGGATCCGAGGTAGTGTCTTCCGCTTGAAGATGACGTACGGCTTCAATTTCTTGCCACTTGCTGTGACGGCCAGCATGACGGTCAGCCTCTCCTTCTCGTAGCCGGCCGTGCGCACATGGACAGTTCTCGAGCCCCGGACTTCGAGTGTGGTCTCCTGCGGCATCTCCAAGAATAGTGGCGTCTGATCCGCGTTGATGATCAGATCGTCGGGGTAGTCGTTGAGCGTGCGGAGCTGCCGAACAAACTCCCAGAACTTCTCGACTTTCGCGTCACAGTTTGCCAATGAAAATAATAAAAAAACAAAAACAGAGAAAGCATAAGTGTGGTCAGGAAACAAGGAAGCACGGCAAGAGCTAGACGAGGGCAGGGAGTATTCGCGGCACGTCAAAGTACGTACCTGCAGCCATGCGCTGTCCCATCTTCGTCTTCACGCGCTTCGTCAGTCCCCAGCGCGCGCGGAACCAGAAGGTCCACCGTGACGAGGCGCGCCAGTCGATGTCGGGGTGGTGCTTACGCATGTACTTCCGACTCCATTTCTGCAGCGTGCCGATCGAGACCGCCAGCCCTCGCGCGCGCTGGCCCAAGAACTTCTTGTACAGCTCGCGCTCCATGGTGGGGTACTTCGCCTTCCTACCGGAGCCGATGAGCCGACGCCTGCAGCTAGCCGAGGCAGTGAGTCGTGCCTTGTTCTTCCTCCAGTCGCGAATCTAGCACGGCTGCACTCCAGCCATCCGAGCAAGGGAGCGGTTCGACATCTCCAGCTCCACCTCCAACTTCGCCAACCAGTACAACTTCTCGGTTGCTGTCCGTGCGAGTCGCTTGCGATTCGTCCTGCGAGCCCTGGGGGAGGGAGGTGCAGCATCACGGTTACGAAGAGGCATATTACAACGGCGTTGCGCTTGCGGGAAACGAGGCATGATAACGCGAGGAAGTGGGCGAGGAGGTTCAGGCTCACGGTCGTCAGCCTCATCCTCCTCCCAAAACAGGTCGTCGTCATCCTGCCAATCGTTATCCCACTCCGGAGGACGTGTGACCACCGGCGACGAGAGAGGTGGCGGAGCAGGGGGAGCCGGGGGCGCAGGAGGAGCAGGAGGTGCAGGGGGCGCTGGTGGCGCCGGTGGCGCCGGAGGAGCGGGAGGAGCGGGCGATGCAGGCGGATGTCTAGGAGCCGAAGGATCTGGTGGGAAAGGACGGAGCAACGTCTGATTCCCAAAGGGTGGGCGATGAGCTCGCAAAAGTGACACACCATTAATTGCTCGAGCGGCCATGGGGGAAAATTTCGACGAGGGATAGCGAGCTAGGCGAGATTGGGCAATGCCCGAGCCTCTATTAGAGAGCTCGGGCATTGCGAAGAATTTGATTGAGGCTGAGAGGAGCGAGGAGCAAGAATGACAATGAGGCAAGAGAAGGTTGGAGAAGAACCGTGGCCGACGCCCCAAGCCAAAGCGCGCACGGCTCTGCAAGAAGCGATGGGACCATGCATGCTAGTCCCATCAAGAAGATTCCGTAAAGGAATCTGGTCGCGCACTTTCGTTACGTTGTAAAAACCCAGGATTCATAGCCGTCGATGAAATCTTGTCACTTGCAGGAGGCCGCTTTCCTCTTGTGCTGGCAGGACTGGATTCCTCGGATTGGCTGCAAATGCAGCACGTCATGACGTTATCGCCAGGCTGGCCCGAGTGGAGGTTGGGAATCGTCATCCAAACCTCGCTTAAGGTGTCATCCTGTACTGTGCATGTATTTCTGCGTGTTACGCCCCAAATTCATTTTGCATTATACATAAGACTGTTAAAGAAGCTCTAGGCTAGGATACTAGGCAGGAACAAGGCCGCCATGAATGTGGCGGCGGGGTTTAGCTAGGAGCTGGACGAGAGTGTCGAGAGAGAAGAGGGTTGGATTAGGAAGAGAGGGGAGTACAAGGAGGGGTTTGTACCCCCTACAGAAAGGTTCAGTAACAACCTACCAAGCCTATATTAAATTATAACTTATATAATTTGAACACACCCCCTAGGCTTGGTAGTGTCAAGCCCACTCACACCCCCACACCCACACCCACACCCACACCCACACCCCCTAGCCCAGCACCCCCATTTCCAGCAGGAGCCGCAACGACTCCGGAAGTGGGCAGCTCCCACGGTCCTTGGGACGGCAATGGCGGCTGCAGCGACAGTGACGACTGCGGCGGCGGCGGCGGCGGCGTGCGGCGGCGCCCGGCCCGCGGCATCAGCGGCGGCAGCGGCGGCATGAACGTCAGAGGCTGGTGCAGCGGCCCCCGCCCTCTCGGCGGCATGTCCAGTCACCTTGGCGGTGGGGAGGGCCCGCATGAGGCAGTCGTTGGCTGCAGCAAGGAAGGGGGGGGGGGGAGAGGGGTGCGGGGCGTAGTCCAGAATTACGCCGGCGGCTGCAGAGCGGGCGGCAGGTCCGGCGGCACCATTGACGATGCGCGGCCGGCTGTCGCCCGATGACGCCGCCACGGCAGCCAAACGACGGATGCGCGGCCGGCTGTCGCCTGATGACGCCGCCACGGCAGCCAAAAGACGCCGCCACAGCGCGACGTCGATGCCGCGGCGGCGAGGCGGAGGTGCGACTGTAGCTCGACTAAGCCGCCGCGGCATCTCAGAGAAGTCGCCACGGCGGCATGGAAAGGCAAGGCCGCCACGGCGGCAGGAAAACGAAAGGCCGCCATCAGCGGCACGGTACGAAGTGAAACGTAAGACAAGGACGAGGCGGAAGCGTGGAAGGCAGGACTGGAAACGGCCTGCTCTGTTACCATGTTAAAGAAGCTCTAGGCTAGGATACTAGGCAGGAACAAGGCCGCCATGAATGTGGCGGCGGGGTTTAGCTAGGAGCTGGACGAGAGTGTCGAGAGAGAAGAGGGTTGGATTAGGAAGAGAGGGGAGTACAAGGAGGGGTTTGTACCCCCTACAGAAAGGTTCAGTAACAACCTACCAAGCCTATATTAAATTATAACTTATATAATTTGAACAAAGACATGGGAGTTATATTTTTCCAGCCTACTGTTAACACCCCTTCGTTTTTTTAATGAATTTTTTACAATACCCTAGGGTGTTATGTACGGAGGAATACGGTACTAATCAGAGTAAATAGTGTGATAAAGTCACCCCTGAGCCTAACCCTCCTGATGACATCCCTTCTTGTCCCAGTGGTTCGGACTGGTGACTTTATGACAGCGCGGCACCTCACTCAAGAAAACCTATCTGCCCTTGTGCGCCCTTCCAACTTCCAACCCCCACCTCTACCTTGTTATCCAGCAACGCCCACCCTTCCTGGCCCTCCCATCCACCCTCTTACCCTTCCCCCCCCCTTCCACCCCCCCCCTCCCCCCTTCTTCCTCACACCTCAAACCCGGGTTCCAGGGTTCCCGGGTTCACCATCTGCGGCACATCCCCATACCATACCCACCAGCTCATGACGCGTCAAAAGAAGCTGCATATAAGGAGTCTGCCTTTGACGCGCCTCGAGCGCTCACACCTCATAGCCCGGGTTGACCACTTGCTGCACATCCCCATACCCCACCAGCTCGTCTATATCCTCCGGACTCCCCAGGAACAACGGCAGCCGCTCGTGCAGCTTCCCTGACGGCTCAATGTCCAAAATGCTCCTCTTCCCGTCGCTCCCCTTTCCGCCTGCCTGCTCTGCGAGGAATGCGAGGGGGTTGGCCTCGTAGAGCAGGCGCAGGTGTGAGCGCGGGTTCATGGCCACCCCCCCGTACAGCAGCGTGCGGTGGAAGTCCCCCACGAGCGAGCAGATGTAGCGCGCTGAGTACTTCTTCCCCGACTGCCCCTTGCCCTGCCGGATCGCGTCGATGTATGCGCGCAGCCCCGCCGGCCAGTCAAAGTACCGCGCGTCGTTCACTGAGTAGATTTGACCTGGGGGGAGGGGGGGATGTGGGGTTGACGGTGAATTTGGAACATGTGTGTGGCACACGGGAGGCAGTGTGGCTGTCCGTGCGAGGTGATGTGGTGTCAATGGAAAGGTGGAGCAGGGCTGGACGGTAGGGCACGAAGTGGAGAGGGGGTACTGGCAAGAGCATGATGTGAGTGCGGTGCAACAGCATGGAGAGGCATGTATGGTCACAGGAACCAGTGGCACAGACACCATCACGACCACATCGCATCAAGCACATACACTGCCATGCCTCACTCACACTCACACCAGCATCGCTATCTGCTCCCTTGCCATAGGTGTGCATGGAAACATCCGGCTCATCGTCCTTCCTTGCACTGCCATGCCACTGATTCCCCTCCCACTTGACCACCCGCACACCTGGAATCAGGTCTCACGTGAGCCCCAGCCTCCATCCAGAGGTGCTGCAATGACTGCACTCCCCACCTTTCCATGAGAGATCAACATGGCCCACCTCTCTCTGACTCTACAGCCCGCCTCTCTCCCCACTCGACAGCCCACCTCGCTTGGGGATGCGCATGTCCCTGGCGGTGAGCAGCCACTCGCCCGTGGTTTCGTCCAGCGTGAAAGCATGCACGCCGCGCCCCACGGTCAGCACCGCCACCACCGCAGACGAGTACAGCACGTACCCGCTCGCCACCAGTGCCCGCCCCGGCTGCAGCACAGCCGCAGCAGGCGAAGCAGCAGTGGCAGCCGCGACAGCAGGAGCAGGAGGCAGGGAGCGGTAGAGGCCCCAGATGGTGCCGGTGGGGATGCCGGCGTCGATGTTCCTGCTGCCGTCCAGGGGGTCGAACACGGCCGCGTACGGCGCGCCGGCTGTCAGCTCGATGACGTCATTGTCCTCCTCCGAGGCTGCCACGGACACCAGCCGTGACGACGTCAGCGTCGCCTTGATGATGTCATTCTGGAACAACGACCGGGGGATTTTCCAAGGGGGAGGAGGGATGGGGGATGGGGGAGTGGCATGGAGGAGGAGGACAGGTGGCGGCATAAAGAATGGGTGGAGTGAGGGGGCGGGAGGAAGAGCCACCGTGCGGAGCAGCATTTCCGCCAGGTGAAGAATGCATGGCCTATAAGAGCCGGCCTACGTCAGCTAAGAATGCATGGCCTAGGCTCGCCTGATCACCATCACAGACAATCCACCTCGCGCTCCTCAAGCCGGCGCCCTTACCGATTGTTACCACTCGTTACCGCTTGCGATCACCCGTGCTTCGAAGAAAGCCTTACCGACACGAGGTCGAGCGGCTTCTGCGCGTCGCCCGACTCGTTCGTGCTGCCGCTGACGCCGCTCAGCTTTGCGCCCATGGCGGCGTCGATGTTCAGCCGGCCGACCGTCACCGCGATGCGCTTCATGGCGTCGTGCAGCGTCAGCAGCAGCAGCACCAAGTCGCTGTCGATGACTCCGTCGCTCGCCCCCTTCCCGCTGCCGTCGCCGACCGTTGCCATGGACTCCATTAGGAACTCCTGCAGCGACGGCAGCGACGGCTTCGCGACCGTCGCATCGCCCTGCTGCGACCGTGCGACTTGCATGGGTGGAGAATGTATGCGACGTGCGGAGTGCAGCGGTGGCTTGCGTGGCAGCAACGCGCGGATGAACGCAGGGGACGAGGAGTGGCGCGGATGGAAGGTGTGTGAGATGGCGCAATGGGAGTGAGCGCGAGGGGTGGGCTGGGAAACCCGAGAGAGCTCAAGCGGGGCGAGGAGAAGCGAGTGCGATAAAGGGCAGAGCGAGGCAAGCATCGTGCGAAGGGAAAATGGTCACGCAGCAGGCCTGCCGTTCAGTGGAATGGCTGAGGGAATGGTAATGTGGCAGAAGGAAGCTTGGGAATGGCATTGTGGGATTTGGGGGATGGTGCTGATGGTGATGCTGGGTGCAGGGGGTGGATGGACAGAAAGCTAGAGCACAATGCTTTCGCTCAGTGGCCGACGAAAAGGTAACCTTGAAATCGTCCATCTGCGTGTAGCCCAAAGGTTGACGAAGAAGGCTTCGCCTGCGCTAGCGATTGTCGCTATGGGATTCTGCGAACAGGAGTTGATGAGGCAAAGTGGATAGACTTGGATCTCCAAACAAACTGGGCCGAAGAAAGATGCTCGCTGCCCTAACTGCAGAACTTGGGGAGGTTCCGTTCCGTGGGCATTTGGCATTATACACCTGAAATCGTATTTGTTTCTGGACGAACGAATTTATGCACACTAGGCTACCCGGCTACCACTCTGTACCCAGCGCACACGAGTAGGACTGCGAGAAATTAGCTCAGCTGAGCGGCGGGTGCCAGCACCATCCCAAAGAGCAGCCCTGGCAATGGTTATCCAAACCGGAGTCCGTAGGGGAAGGGTTCATTTGAGAAGTGTTTCTGTGAAGTGGCGTACCGTTGGGATAGCCAGGAAAATCCACCCAAACATGGGCACTGCTGCTGCAAAAATCTGTCAAAAAATCCAACCAGTCTGGAGTCTGGGCAGGGGAGGCAGCCATGCCTTGCACCAGATCTAGTGTGCAATAGTGTGACTTGGTTACTTGATCCAGTGCCCCACATCCTAGTAAAGTCTCGCCCCTTTTCTTCACAAGCCATGGCTGCCTCGCTCTCCCGTCCCCGCGCGAGTCCCGCACTCTTGCACCTGGGGATCGCCGCCTGCCTACTCCTCCCGTCGCTCGTCCACGCCGCCGAGACGTGCGGCTGGAATTCCGACTCCGCGGAATCCAAGGAATGGCAGGGCGAGTTCTTTTCCGCAATCCCCAAAGTAGTCTACGAAGGCCCGGCTTCCCGTAACATCTTCGCCTTTCGTTACTACAACGCGGACGAAGTCATTCTCGGACGTCCGATGAAGGAATGGCTGCGATTCGCCGTGGCGTTCTGGCACACGTTTCGTGGCGACGGGTCCGACCCGTTCGGGTCGCCCACGAAGCACTGGCCGTGGGAGGATGGCACCAATTCCCTCGCCATGGCCAAGCGCCGCATGCGCGCGGCGTTCGAGTTCATGTCGAAGCTCGGCGCGCAGTTCTGGTGCTTCCACGACCGCGACATCGCGCCGGAGGGCGCAACTCTGGCGGAAACTAACGCGAATCTCGACGCGGTCGTCGCGCTGGCGGCGGAGCTGCAGGCGCAGACGGGCATCCGCCCGCTGTGGGGCACGGCGCAGCTGTTCAAGCACCCGCGCTACCGCCACGGCGCGGCGACCAGCCCCGTCGCGAGCGTGTTCGCGTACGCCGCGGCGCAGGTGAAAAAGGCGATGGAGGTGACGCACCGCCTGGGCGGCGAGAACTACGTGTTCTGGGGCGGACGCGAGGGGTACTCGAGCCTTGTTAACACGGACATGGGGCTGGAGCTGGAGCACCTGGCAAGGTTTCTTAGCATGGCCGCGGAATGGCGCGAGAAGCTAGGGTTCAAGGGCGCACTGCTGATGGAGCCGAAGCCGCAGGAGCCGACAAAGCACCAGTACGACTGGGACGCCGCCACCACGCTAGGGTTTCTCGTGCGCTACAACCTCACGCGGCCCGACGCCGCCACAGGCGCGCTACAACCGTTCAAGCTGAACCTGGAGTGCAACCACGCGACGCTGGCGGGCCACAGCTGCGAGCACGAGCTGGAGACGGCGCGGATCGCGGGTGCGCTGGGCGGCGTGGACGCGAACACGGGCGACGCGCAGACGGGGTGGGACACGGACGAGTTCCTAACGGACCCGGCTGCCGCCACGCGCGTGATGCTGAGCGTCGTGCGCAACGGCGGGCTGGCGCCGGGGGGGATTAACTTCGACGCGAAGCTGCGGCGGGAGAGCACGGACGTGGACGACCTGTTCATCGCGCACATTGCGGGCATGGACGCCCTCGCGCGCGGGCTGCGCAATGTGGCTGCTATTATCGACGATGGGGACCTGGACAAGCTGGTGCAGGGGCGGTACGCCAGCTGGAAGGAGGGGATTGGTGCGCGGATTGAGAAGGGCGAGGTGGGGTTCGAGGAGCTGGAGACCGCGGTGATGGCAGATGGGGGCAAGGAGCCGGAGGTGGGGTCAGGCAAGCAGGAGCTGGCGGAGGCACTGTTCCACCGGTTTGTGTGAGGGACAGGGACGGCCATGGGAACACATTACATGCAAGGTCTGTAAGGCTTTCAGGTGGAAGGAAGCCTAGTGCTGAAGTTGTTCTGGTCTGGTGCAAGTGCCAGCAGTAGGGTGGGGAAAATGGACATTTGACCAGCACTGAAGGCGTGTGAGTGTGAGTGGTGCAATGTTGTGTGGGTTTCGTTCGAATGGATGTGGTCTATGGCGTCTGCTCCAACTCATGAAGTTTTTGTTCAACGTTTCTGCTTCTGAGATTATCCACGGGGCATGCATGTTCGTGCGCAGGCAGGGCCCCAAATTGGTTTATGGGGAGGCTGATGTCAACATATATTTTATAGATATACCGTATTCCCCCGTATATAACACCCTAGGGTATTGTCAAAAATTCATTAAAAAAACGAAGGGGTGTTAACAGTAGGCTGGAGAAATTTAACGCCCATGTCTTATGTATAATGCAAAATGAATTTGGGGCGTAACATGCAGAAATACATACACAGTACAGAAATCCAAGCGAGGTTTGGATGACGATTCCCAACCTCCACTCGGGCCAGCCTGGCGATAACGTCATGACGTGCTGCATTTGCAGCCAATCCGAGGAATCCGGTCCTGCCAGCACAAGAGGAAAGCGGCCTCCTGCAAGTGACAATATTTCATCGACGGCTATGAATCCTGGGTTTTTACAACGTAACGAAAGTGCGCGACCAGATTCCTTTACGGAATCTTCTTGATGGGACTAGCATGCATGGTCCCATCGCTTCTTGCAGGGGAAGCGGGGACGCAGGACGGTGGAAAGCAGGACCGCAAGAACGAGGGCTAGTGGATTGGGTGGAAAGCGGAAAATCGGGGAAGCAGGATAATGGGAAAGTGGGAATCGAGAGAGCAGGAAGCGGGATCCGGGAAGCGGGAAAGCAGGGGCAGTTTGAGTGCGAGAAATTGGGGAGGCGAATGCAGGCAGATGCAGCGGACGGGGCGGAAAACAGGGAATGCGGAAAGTGGGAAAGCGGGGCAGTGCTCTCGCAGCTGCTGCAAGGAGCGGGGAGTGGGAAGCGAGGCAACGGGCGAGGTACTTGGGTGCACCGGCGAGGAAATGCCTTAGAGCTCGCTAATAAGGTCTTCGCGTGACGCACCTTACAATGATAGTGTGGCATGCTGGCATGCAGTGAAGTGGGCGATAAGGTACGAAATCACTGGTTGCATAAAGTAACGGAGATGCGGCAGGTAGCTGTCGCCCACAGGGTTACGGGAAAGTGTAGACGTTACTAATAAGCCACACCTTTCCCGTGAATGACGAAATAGGAGGTAAGCGTTGTGTTAGGGAGCGAGAATGGCTGGGAAGGAGCCATGGCTACTGAGTACATAGTAAAAAGCAAAAGCTTTGGGTCTTGGTGTGGCGGGGGGAGAGGCTTTCCTTGTTCTGTCGCTGGGTTGGTGGGGAATCGCATAGCCAATCAGAATCTTCCCAAATCAAAATCGCACCCCTCCTGCTGGTATTTGGTTACCGTGTTTGTTTCGCGTTAGTTTTCGTGCGTCGAGGGACTCAAATCCTTTGACTCTTGAGTTTGGTCTGTACGCTCGCCTTTTTAATATCCAGTTGGCGAAGTGGCTGATGGCGGCTGCAAGCAATAGCGAGAAGAATTCGAACTCAGATATGGTAGCTGACCGAAGCAAAAGTATGGTCGTTATCGATGCCATGGGTTTGTTTGAAACCTCGAATGACCCATCTCCCCTTGAATCTGTCTGGTTCGCCTGCTGCGTTTGTCTTTATGTGAAAGACCCTCTTGCCCGAAAGTATTTTCTTGCCTTGGGTTTAGGGTTTTGGATTTAGGGTTCACGTTTTCCGCTTCTCGAGAGCTGCTACCTCTGCATTCATAGCGGCTCGCCACTTGTCAGCATTAGAGCCAGAGAGGTCATGCTTGATTGTTTTCAGCTCGATCCCGGTCGTTGGTTGCTGAACTGCGACAACAAGGCCAAGAATCTGAAGATCCGATTGGTCACCACGAGGACGAGGTTGGCAAACTTCGACGATGTCATCGTCGTCAATTTCGGATGGCAGATGGTGGGCATCGTCATGTGATGCTGCGTCAGTTTTCTGTCGGCACAGGTGCTCCTCATAATTATAGGCAGCCTGTGTTGTGGCAGGACGCAACGGGTCCGAGAGTGGAATGAAGAGCGGGGTCTTAGTGTTGTTGGCACGTGTGGAGGGAACATAGGATTCGAACAATTGTTCAGCTGCTAACGTAGACGATTGCGGAAGTGTAGAAGGTCCTGTTGTTGCACTGTTAGGCGGATAATATTCTTAGGCTGCATCTGCATTGTCTTGAGGGGTGGCGAAAGGTCGTTCGGCATTGTAGCAATCACGATCCGCCTGCTGGCGTTCCTTGTTGCGTTCAAAGTCATTGAGAAATAGTTTATCGTAGAAGATGCAGTCTCGGGCATACATAAACTTTTGGGTTTCATAATCCATAATTATCCTAGATTAGAAATCCTTGGGTACACCAAGGTGTATTCCCCATCGAGCCCGTTCAATCAATCTGCCCACAGTTGCGTCGGAGGTGTGTATTGGACCATGCAGCCCCAAACTCGAAATAGTCGAGTGTCGGCGGGGTGTTTTGTCCACATGACATGTAGTGAGCTGAACTGAGGAAGAGCAGCTGAAGACATGCTGTTATGTATTCTGACAGCTTGCGCCATCGCAAACAACTAAAAGTCTGCTGTCAAGCTGGACTGTTGCAGAAGCACACGCATCTTCTCTTGCAGCGTTCGATTAGTTCTCTCAGTTACTCCATTCTGCTGATGGGCATAAGGCACAGTCGTGTGCCTAATATTCCTTTCCGCACCTAGAATTCATCGAACTGCTCGCTAGTGTACTCGCCCGTATTGTCTGTTTGGATCTCTTTCAGCTTGATGCCGCTGTGCCGCTCTGTGATTTTCAGCCATAGTTTGAAGGCGTCGAGAGCTTCATACTTGTAAGAGATATTCTTATGCCAGCATCGTCGATGAGGGTAATTATATAGCGGTAGTCGTTGCCACTGATATCCTCTGCTTCCTGCGGCATAAAGAGTATGTCGCTGAAAACGACGTCCATAGGTGAGTACTTAGTAGCACTCGGAAAATGTGACGTGAACGGAGCGTAACTTAGATGAGCTCCGGGGCAGACGGTGCAGGGTGATTGGCGGTTGCTAGGTCGAAGATCCTGGCCGTTGGTTAAAATGAGTGCGTCCTTATCGAAGACAAAGGCATTAATTGAGTTGTTAAGAGCTTCTTGCGAGGGATGACCAAACCACTTGTGCCGAATTTCCGCTGTATTCATGTGTCCCTTTGAACGCAGGTACAAGTCAGGGTGAAGGAAGAAGGCCGGCGGAATATGAATCGTTGGCGCAGGGTTAACGCAGTGGCCGGTGCCAAAAGGCTGTATGAATCTAGCTTCTTCTGCAGTTTCAGCCCAAGGTATTCGCGGTGTTGGCGACGCGCCCAAGCATCAGGTATGATTAACTCTTTCTTGCCCCATGTGCATTCAACTTCCATAGATTCTTCGACTGTAGCAGATGTAGATTCTTGATTTTCATAACCCCAATTTCCATCTCTAGATGCCCATGTACTTTGAACCTTTTTTGCTGCTGCTTATGCTGCTTCTGTTGGCTCTGCTGCAAGTTTGTCAAGGGAGTTGGTGCGAGAAGGCTGAGGCGTGATGCAGAAGACATTGAGACCATGATGGTCTTGGCGTTGAAGATCCGTTTCCCAGGGATGATGCCAAGGAGCAAGTGGGATGTTCTTCTCACTGTTGCCATATGCTTTTACAGGTGAAAACAGTAAAACGCAAACGACGTCTTTAATTTATGCGATGACGACTAAATTGCTTTTGTCTTCCTTCTTGCCGCACAGGTACAACTCCGTGAGCATTGTGTCGGAGGTGCTGACGAAGCAGATGCTGCTTTTCATCAGCTGCGCTTGTGATAGTAGGTTGAAGCCAAGTCCCATGGCGACGAGAACCTTATTAAGGTGAAGTGAAACTTATGTGTCGTCGGACTCTAGTATCACATCTCCAATTCTGGTTGCTTCAATGACCTGATTGTTCGCAACCGTGATGTTGTATTTTTCTCCTTGTGACAGGTCTCGCCAGTTGAGAAGGTAGCGACTTGAAGACGCCATGTGGTGACCGCAGCAACTGTCAAGAAACCAAGTATTAACATGCTCAGGATACGTACGCTTGGCGATGTGGGCATACGGCTGCACATTCAACTGTCGAGGGAATCCTTTCGGCTGCTCTGGTTCTTCGTTAACGACTGCTGGTTCTTGAGTTTTTGAACAAGGATGAAGACGTGGAGGTAATCGTTCATCCAAGTCAGGGGAAGACTTTACACCTTGTATTGGAAAAGTCTGAAATGACAAGGATAATAATAATGAGTAATACATACATTCTTATAGTCTAGGAAGTAGCTATTTAAAATGTACCTGTTCATACTCTATCGCGACTATTCGCGTAACATGACTAGTGACTGTTCGTGTAACTGAGAGTGGCGTAAACCTTCGGGTGACTATACGCGCGAACCTACTGTCCACGCGTTTACTCGCTACTGCTGTCGTCATCACGCGCATCCTTCCATATGAGGTATCGCGCTACTAGTACAGACTAAGTGTAATATCAAGAATGCATAAGTAAACTCTGTCGGGTATACTTTAACACTGTTGACGTCATTATGTGCGTCCTTCCATATGAGATCTCGCACGACTAGTACAGTCTAAGTGTAATATCAGGAATGCATAAGTAAATTTTGTCGAGTATACTTCAACATGTCTGGAGTTGGGAATCTTTAGATTGCATTGCATCAGCCAAGAGTTCACTGTTATGAATGCCACATATATGGTACCAACGTTTCCTATCGTCTTCACTAGCCATTGTATCGTACCATCACGCACTGGGAGGTCCATGTGCTTCACGCTCCACCGTAGAGTAAGCAGGCAACAGATTTAGCAGGTGCTGCTGTCAACATATATTTTGTATGTGTTATAGGCTGGATAGGTGCATGCTCATAAAGGGAACAACACCTTGGCTCATATCCCTTGTTCCCCAAAATCTAGTCACTTGTTAACTCTGAGGTGGTATCAGAGCTAGGTTGGTTCCTCCCCGCCCAACCGTGCTTCCACTTTAGTCCTAGCCCCAGCCGCCCATCGCTAGTTGCCTGTTCTTAGCCGCCCGTTGCTAGCCGCCCGTTTTTTGCCGCCCGTTCCTAGCCGCCCGTCGCTAGTTGCCGCTGGCCGCCCGTCGCTTCATGCCGCCCGTAGCCGCCAGCCGCCTGTAGACGCTGGCCGCCCGTAGCCGCCAGCCAGCCATAGCCACCAGCAACTCGTTGCCGCCAGCCGCCTGCTGGCCCCTACTCGCTAGCCCCGTGCCCGCCAGCCCAACGCCCGCTAGCCCCGCGCTCACCGGCCCCACGCTCGCTGGCCCCACGCTAGCCGGCCCCCACGCTCACCGCTTCTTTTACTCGCGTGACATCACTTTTGACGAGTCTGTTTCCTTCTACCACCGATTTCCCCACCAAGGTCTCTTGGTTACCCTGCCCCTGTTCCTGGTCCCCACTCCCCTGGTAGCCCCTGCTCCTCTCCCTCCGTGTCCTGCCCCGTCTGATGTGTCCCCTCCCGTTGGTTCTCCCGGTCAAAGAGTCGTCTGACTCTGGCGGCCCTGGGGCACCGTTCTCGCCGCCTGTCTCCACCCGTTGTCTCCTCCTCCGCCGTCACCGCAGCCTCCGTCGCCGCCGCCGCAGCAGCAACTGCAGTCGCCGATGACACAGCAGAAGCCGCTGCCAGAGTCCGCGAGCTCTGGGGGTGCGGGCGTTGAGGAGGGTACTAGTCCTGGGGTTCCTGTCGTGGCTTGTCCCTGTGGTCCTGTGGGTGGCACCGGTGCCGGAGAGGGTTCTTTCTCTGGGGGTGCTGGCTCTAGGGGTGCTAGTTCTGGGGTGCTAGCCCCGGGGGTAGCCTTGGTGCAGCTGGAGGTTTTGGTGTCGGCGTAGAGCAGCAGCAAACGCCGCCGGTTTCCGCCCTTCGCCTCCTCAGTCTTCCATTCCCTGACCACCTGCTTGCGCCTCCCCTGCCGCAGCCTCTTTTGGCTGTCTACGACCCTGTGTTTCCTCCGCCGGACTCGTCTCCGGCTCGTCTCCCCCCCTCGTTCTCCTGCTATGTGTCCTCCCTTGTCTCCTGACCCGACCCCACCCGACCGCTGGTGGTCTCGCCGTTCCTCTCGTGCTCGTCCTGTCTCCCCTGCCCAGCGTTCTCACCTTATGCTTCTTCGATCCCATGTGTCTCGTCCTTCTCTCTTCTCATCACCTCCTCCGTCGTCGCTTGTTGTCGCTCAGCCTCCTATGTCGGACTACCTTCGTGCAACTAGTCCTCTTGTTCCGTGTGTTCTTGCCTCCCTCATTACTGACCCGTCTGTTCCTGTCTCGAGCCTCGACCCTCTTGTCGCTGACTTTGCCTCTATATGCCACCTTGACTACGCCACCGCTCTAGTCTCTGACCCTGCTCGTCCTCCGTCTGTCGAGGGTGCTTCTGCCCTTGGCAGTGACATCCTGGAGGACTGGCAGTACGGGCTCGCTTTCCTATCCGAGGCCGCTCCTCATCTATGCTCCATGCTGCTAGTCCTTGAGGATGACCCATACGCCCTTGACAACCCGACCCCTTGCACTTACGCTGAGGCGACCTCGAGACCATGGGCCTCTCAGTGGATAGCTGCCATGGACGCAGAGATGGCATCTTGGAGATCCACCGGCACCTACGCCGATGCAGTTCCCCCATTTGGGGTGAACGTAGTCGATGACCGATGGCTCTTCAAGGTGAAGCGCCCTTCTGGAGAGCCGCCGGTGTTCAAGGCACATTACTAGCTAGAGGCTTCAGTCAGCGCGAGGGTGTTGACTTGTTTTAGACCTTCGATCCGACATGATCACTCTTCGGGCGCCGCTATACGTAGCAGCACAGCGTGACTACGAGCTGCTCTCCCTCGAATTCTCCACAGCGTTTCTCCAAGGCAGTCTGCACGAGAAGGTCTACATGCGTCGTCCGCCCGACTTCGCCGGCACCTGCGCCTCTGGTATCGAGTGGTTCCTTCGGCGCCCAGTTTACGGCTTGCGGCAGGCGCCCCATGAGTGGCACGACACATTGTGTGCTACACTTGCTGACCTGTAAATCTTCCCGTCGTCTGCAGATCTCTCACTCTTCGTTCGTGCTGGCCAGACCCCGTTCTACATCCTTGTCTCCGCAGACGAGATAGTCTTCGCTATTGCATACAGAGACGCAATGGCCTCCGTAAGGCTGAGCTGCTAAGGAGACACACCTGCACTGACCTAAGTGAGTTGAGCCGCTACCGTGGCCTGCAGATCTCCAGGGACGGAGCAGCGCGCACTTTCATTCTCACACAGTCACAATTGGTGCGCCATGTCTTTTAGAGGATCAAACTTCAGTTCTCCTCCACACAGCCCACACCTCTGCGAGTAGATCACATGCTCTCGGCTCCAGTCCCTAAGGAGTTTGTAGGGCATAGTGATCCTTACGTACAGCTGGTAGGTTGCCTCACATATGTGATGACTCGCATTCGTCCAGATCTTGCGTACCCTCTCAGCATCCTGACTCGCGTTGTGGCCACAGGCAGACACCGACCACTGCAATGGTCGGTCACTAAGAGGGTTTTGCGTTATCTAGCAAGTACATCAAGCATGGGGCTAGTGCTAAGATGAAGCAGGCCAGTGGTCCTTATAGGGCACACAAACGTTTCGTGGGCAGACGACGCTGAGACTCTTAGGTTCTCCCAGGGCTACTTCTTTAGCCTTGGTGCAGGCGCTATCTTGTGGAGGTCCACTCGTTCGTCGTCTGTTGCCCAGTCTAGCTGGTTGGCTGAGATCTACGCTGGTGCCATAGTGGTATCGGAGCTCCGCTGGTTAACTTTCTTGCTCATAGACTTAGGTGAGCGGCCTATCTTTGCCCCGGTCCTGTACGATTACAATAGGGCCATGATCCTCAATTGTCAGGATCCTCGGTTGGAGGGCAGAGTGAAGCACATCTTGCTGTGGTACTTCCTCATGCGCGAGCTACAACAGCACCGCTTGGCCTCCGGTGCCAACACAGCTGATATCTTTATGAAGGTGCTTGCGCGTAAAGATTATCAGCGGCACTGTGTACAGCTTGGTCTAGTGCAGGTAGCTTCTCACTTGCTAGGGCCTCGATTATGTACTATATCTTATGTTACCTTGACTGGCCTTATGGCTTCTGTTCCGGTGGCTGGACTAGTAGTGCCGCCTTGGGTTACTCTTGTTGCCTTTGTACTCTTGCTGACTGGTCTTCAGACCCTTTCCTCGGAGGTTGGACTAGTAGTGCCACCCTGAGGTGCGTGTCTCTTGCTAGCTGTTGCCCTTTGTCTAGCCTAGGGGGTGTTTTAGCATATATTTTGTATATGTTATAGGCTAGATATGTGCATACTCATAGAGGGTACAACACCTTAGCTTATATCCCTTGTACCCCATCTTTCTAGTCACTTAAATGTGAGAGATGCAAATCAAGAACGGAGAGGCAATCAAGGATCCCGCGGAGTATGGAAACGAGTGTAGGGCGCGTTGGTGTGTATTAATATTTGGTTTTGAAGGTCGTTGGGCCGCAGTTTGACACGGGTGGTCCCTCTTTTCGATGATTGGCTCTCACCCTTTCGTGGCCCACAGTTGACTTACTGTGGTCCAGCCCATTCCACGTCGGACTGGCCCATCTGGGTCATTTCCTTAGCCCACTGACTTGGCATGACACGGACTTGTCGCCTCGCACTGGCCCATGGGAGCTGTATCCGGGTCGCACACGCGGGCGATGACAAGCGCACAAACCAGCAACCCAGCGTCCCATTGGTGGATAAATGGCGCGCCTCGCCCACCTCATTGCTCATCTTGCTCCCCCGCATGTTCCCCTGCTCCTCCCGTCCGTCCATCCCGCCTCGCCCACCTCCCAGGTCGCAACTTCGCACCAACATCACTGCTTCTCCTCGTCACTCAGCTCAATCACACTTTTGCCCCACCTGACTGAAGTCGGCCCACCAGTGGCCTCGTCACAACCGGCGGCACCGGATTCGTCCGAAGTTGGGTCCCAGCATAAGAACGCCTCTTTTCCCGGTTCCTGGCATTGGGAGTTCATCGAGCTTTGTGCTGCTCTTCTATCACCTGACCAGGGAGCGTTCTAGCAAATCTACCCGTGCGTTCCAGAGTACTGCTACTACTTGTACTCGTCCTACAACGAGTCGACATGTCGACTACCACTACCTCATCCACGGCCAACGGGTTGAGGCCCATCGACGTGCGCGGGAAGGAAGTGTGCGAGAACGACACGGCGCCGCCGATCAAGGCGTCGACCATGGCGGAGCTGCACCGCCTGCAGAAGAAGAAGTCCAACCCCACCTCGCCCAAGGGCGGCGCCATTGGCGGCGCCGCCGAGCAGAACGGCGAGAAGTTCCAGCAGCACCTGGAGTCCATCAGGTGAGCGCGCTAGATGAAGAGAATCCAGCCGCACTCGAGCCGCTTTTTCTGTTTTCAGATTGTGTTTCTTCACCGCGATACTATTCCGTTCTTTTAGTAAAGAACGGGCGCGCAGATCTGAACGCACCACCACCATCGCCGTGATATCCCTGCTTCCTCCGTGTGGCAGTGCGTCCCTGGCGTCTCACGTGCGGGAGCTGGGGCCCAATATCGTGACGAGCAAGTGCAAGCCGGCGTCGCAGGGCCACCGGGGGGTGGCGGCGCCATCGCAGCCGAGCGTGAGCGACAGCTCCCTCAAGCTCACGCATGTGCTCTACAACCTCTCGCCCGCTGGTCAGTGCCGCGCGCGCGTGTTGCGGAAAGCATGCATGCGGCCTTTGCGAGTCATCATAGCTAAAGTGAAGATTCGTGGTTTCTTGCAAGCAGTTCTGTTTTCCCTGCTGACTTGTCCGCTTTTCCTTGTCGCGTGTCGTGCAGAGCTCTACGAGCAGGCGATTAAGTACGAGAAGGGGTCGTACATCACGTCGTCTGGCGCACTGGCTACGCTTTCGGGAGCCAAGACCGGGCGATCGCCCAAGGACAAGCGCGTCGTGAAAGAGGAGACGTCCAGCAACGACCTGTGGTGGGGCGAGTAAGTGTTCCTACCCCTAGCTCAAGCAACCCCTGTTAGCTTCCTACTCAAACTGTATTGTCTTGTCATGGCAGAGCAAGCTCTTGTCTTGTTTTCTCACGGTTCTCACGACGTGTGGGGTGGTGTGTGTGTGTGTGTGTGTGGCGGCAGGGGGTCGCCCAACATCGAGATGGACGAGGAGACGTTCCTTGTGAACCGCGAGAGGGCTGTTGACTACCTCAACTCGCTCGACAAGGTACGCGGCGCAAGCAACTTTCCGTCTCCATTGTTTCTGTCAGTGAATGCTCGGGATCGGGAAGAGCGAGTCCTGTATTTAGAAACTGAGTGAGCTGAAGGTTATGTAACCAATTCTCACCAAGGCCTCACGATCAGTGGAGCTGTTTTAAAACGTGTGTGTGTTGGCGGTGTGTGTGGTGGTGCAGGTGTTCGTGAACGACCAGTTCCTCAACTGGGACACGGAGCACCGGCTCAAAGTGCGCATCGTGTCCGCACGCGCGTACCACGCGCTCTTCATGCACAACATGTGAGTCGCTGCAACCATGTGGCACATCGGGGGAGTGGTGGAGTGCTTGCCATCACAAGCCACCGAGGGGGGCTTGTCGCTAGCAGCACATCATCACTGCCTTTCAGTAAAGTCTCAACTCTCAACCCTAAAGTCTCCTGTTTCCCAACCGCCCTTTCTCCTCTCCCATGGCCTCCCTTGGCCGCCCGCCCTGCAGGTGCATCCGGCCGACGGCAGAGGAGCTGGAGAGCTTTGGCAAGCCGGACTTCACCATCTACAACGCGGGGCAGTTCCCCTGCAACCGCTTCACGCACTACATGACGTCGTCCACCAGCATCGACCTGAACCTGGCGCGGAAGGAGATGGTCATCCTGGGCACGCAGTACGCGGGCGAGATGAAGAAGGGGCTCTTCTCCGTCATGCACTACCTCATGCCCAAGCGCGGCGTGCTGTCGCTGCACTCCGGGTGTAACATGGGCAAGAGCGGCGACGTGGCGCTCTTCTTTGGGCTGTCGGGCACGGGCAAGACGACGCTGTCGACGGACGAGAACCGGGACCTGATTGGCGACGACGAGCACTGCTGGACGGACAACGGCGTGTCCAACATCGAGGGGGGGTGCTACGCCAAGTGCATCGGGCTGTCAGGGGACAGCGAGCCCGAGATCTTCAACGCCATCAAGTTCGGCACAGGTACGGCGGGCGCTCCGGTGGCGGTTGGCGCCATCTCGCATCAGTTCCGCGTGCTGCTCCCCTTGCTCCACCACAACCTCCCCCAACCCCCTCTCCCCCGCTTCCCCCCTGATCTAGCGTGTCTCTTGTGTCTCACAACTAACTTCTCTCCCCTTGGTGTCCTCCCGTGCCTGTATCGCGTGCGCGCAGTGCTGGAGAACGTGGTTTTCGACGAGCACACGCGCGAGGTGGACTACGACGACAAGTCCGTCACGGAGAACACGCGCGCGTCGTACCCCATCGAGTTCATCCCCAATGCGCGCATCCCGTGCGTCGGCCCGCACCCCAAGAATGTCATCCTGCTCGCGTGCGACGCCTTCGGCGTGCTGCCACCCGTCAGCCGCCTCTCGCTGCCGCAGACCATGTACCACTTCATCAGCGGCTACACCGCGCTGGTCAGTGCTTCTCCCCGCCCCACACCCCCGCTCTGCGCACTGCCGCACTGCCAAAGCTTTTGCTGCTAGACAGGAAGCGCCTTCTTGGGGAATGTCTCCTAGGGAGGTTTCGGGTACTGTCGCCTGATACCCCACACACCCCCCTCTCTGCCCCTCGTGCGCGGCTCACCATCTGCCGTGGGCTCTTTCATGCCTGACCGCACTCTTCCTCACCGCCGCACCATCTGCTCCCCCTCCTCTTCCCCCCTCCCCCTTGTCTCCGCTCCCGCTCCCCGCGCCTTGCTTCCCCGCGCGCAGGTGGCGGGCACGGAGGACGGCGTGCGGGAGCCGCGCGCGACGTTTTCGGCGTGCTTCGGCGCGGCGTTCATCATGTGGCACCCCACCAAGTACGCCGCCATGCTGGCCGAGCGCATGCAGCGCCACGGCGCCACGGCGTGGCTGGTGAACACGGGGTGGTCGGGCGGCAGCTACGGCGTGGGGCAGCGCATGAAGCTGAAGCACACGCGCGCCATCGTGAACGCCATCCACGATGGGTCGCTGCTGGCCGCGAACTACTCCGCCACGCCCATCTTCGGCCTGCAGGTTCCCGATGCTGTCAACGGCGTGCCGTCCGAGGTCCTCATGCCGCAGAACATGGTGCGTCGTGGTGGCGACGAGTGATGTGTAACAAGATACCCTCTTACACTCTCCCTCCTTCTCCCGTCTCTTCCCTGTTCGCTTCTTGCGTGATGCTCCTGCTACTCGCTGCGCTTATGGCCCCTCGCTTCCTGACTGCACTGCTCCTGTTCTCCGCGCCCTTGCTCCAGCCCTCAATACCCCCTAACTCTCTGTACCACTGTGCGCCAACCCCATTGCCGTGTGTGTATTGATGCAGTGGGAGGACAAGGCGGGGTACGAGGCGACGCTGGTGAAGCTGGCGCGGCTGTTCCAAGACAACTTCAAGAAGTTTGCCGAGTACGACGGCAACGGCAGCGATGGCAAGCTCGCCGCGGATATTCTCGCTGCGGGACCGCAGCTCTAGGGATGAGCCTTAGGGGTGAAATCAGGGGAGGAGGGGTGAGGGTGTACAGAAGGGTGGTGCATGGTTCCTGTACGATAAATGAGAGGCTTCTGCAGGTGTATTTAGTGTGATTTTGTGCGAGATACCGCGTCATTTTTGTTCTCTCTTCAATGGTTGCAATTTCCATGAAGTATCGCACCTGTTCATCCACGCTTGATTCCTATAAACACGAAGTACCGAGTTGACTTTTGAGTCGACTCATAAGTTATCCAATAAGATAAGAGGTGAACCAAATCTATTTAAAATGTGCCGCTTTATTTTTAGTTGGTGTCAATACTTCACAAGCAAGCATGATTGGTTGTAAGGAGGATTTTTCTGAGCTGGGCCGTGCTCCAGAAGCGGCGGATCATGTTGTTGTCGGTCGGCGTGTACGCCGACGTAATCTCCAGCACAGCCACGCATGGAAGGGAATTCTGGCGTCTCGTTTCATGTCAAATGCACAGCGCTGCGTGGCACCAATCGTACGGCCCTGCTCAGTTACAACTTACAACCAGGCTCAGGCAGTACAGCAGCACATCAGCATGCAGTGCACCGCCCCACGAGCAGCAGTTCTTTCATCCACCATTCTATAATTTCCTTCACGGCAGACGTGAATAATAGAAATAAAGCAAGGCGCGAAAGGCGCGAAAGGCGCGAAAGGCACGAGAGGCGCGAAAGGCGCGAGAGGCGTGAGAGAAGCAAAGCCGTCTTCTCGACTCTGGACTGGTTGAGTTACTCATACGGGCTACTCTAGGTTACAGCAGCACCGGGTCAAGCAACTGCCATACTACCTCAAGTTCAAGTTGCCAAGAGCCGCGTCCGTGACTGAAACAGATATAGACGACTAAGTCGGTGGCTATCGCGCAATCAGGATGGCTACAGGGAAGAGGATATTAGTCGCTGTCGACAACTCTCAAGGTACGCTCCCATGTCTCCCCAGGCACGCGACGCTTTTCGACCGTTTCGTTCCTAGTCCCCAGCTCGCCGGTCCGGACGCCAGCCTACGGCTCGAGCGCCCTCCTCACGTATCCGTTGCCTCCATTGCTCCCGCCTCCATTGCTCCCGCCTCCATTGCTCCCGCCTCCATTGCTCCCGCCTTTCACAACCCTCCCTCTAACATCCCTTCCTCCTGCCTGGCCTCTGCCACTCGCGCCGCTAGCTAGTAGTAACAATGCCGTTTCTTGGCGTCGCGCACAGGAGACTCGCACCCCGTTCGTCCTCCGCCGTATCGCGGGCGCCTTGTCTTGATGACTGCATCACTCCGCGTGCTGCCCCGCTCCTCCCCCTCTTCCCAAAACACCTCTTCCCCATCCCCTCTTCCCCATCCCCTCTTCCTCTTCCCCTCTTCCCCATCCCCTCTTCCTCTTCCCCTCTTCCCCATCCCCTCTTCCTCTTCCCCTCTCCCCTCCCCCCTTCCCCCCCTCCTCCGCCCCAGAGGGCTCACACGCGTTCCACTGGTCGCTGACCAACCTGGCTGCTGACTCGGACGCGCTTCTCCTGCTGCACGTGCGCCCGCCCGTGGTGAGTGACATGCCACGTGAGACACACATGGTGCGACACATATGGTGCGACACACATGGTGCGACACATATGGTGCGACACACATGGTGCGACACATATGGTGCGACACACATGGTGCGACACACATGGTGCGACACATATGGTGCGACACACATGGTGCGACACATATGGTGCGACACACATGGTGCGACACATATGGTGCGACACACATGGTGCGACACACACGCATGGTGCGTCACACATGGTGCAAATCTGTATCACATGTGCCTCAACCCCTCCTGTCCCTCCTTGTACATTGCTCCCCCCCTCTCATCATTCTCGCCTTCCTTCCGCTACTCCCTCCTGTCCTCGCTTTCCTCGTTCCCTGCCGCCTCCTGCCACCCCCTGTCTCCCCTTGCTACCCTCTACCACCCCCTGGTGCCCCCAGGCGGAGATGTTTGACCGCGAGAGCATCTACCTGGCGAGCGAGGAGGTGTACGCGCTGCAGCGGCAGCTCAGAGCGGACTCGCAGCAGCTGCTGGACGGCCTTGCTCATGCTGCCACACACGGGCTCGAGGTCAGCTGCCACTCACGCCGCCTGCTGCTGCTGCTGCTGCTGCTGCTGCTGCTGCTGCTGCTGCTGCTGTTGGATAGCGGTGGCATGAGCATGCGCGTGCTGCTGTGCCCTGTCACGTTACCATGTTCATAAGTAGCCCTCTCGTGCCGCACTCTCCCTCCCTTTGGTCTCACCAGATACTTCCCGTCTACCATTCTGGTCCCCTCATACTATCGTCCCTAAACCCCCCCACATACCCCTGCGCCTCACGTTTGCCGTGGAACCTGAGCATGGGATGCATAGCGCAGTGTGCACTGGACTGAGAAAAGGGCCGCTGGGGGGGCAGGAGCCATCCAGTCTTTTGAGTGACCAACCCCAGTGTGCCGCCGCGCTGTGCCCCAGTGCGCCCAAATTGGTGCAAGCATGGCACATGAAGCGCCGCTGGTGGGAGCGCTATCCACCGGCCAGCGCGATCCACAATGAGCACGAGGGCAGGGATAAGTCCAGTCTTCCCTTGCACTGCACCCCTTGTGCCGCTACCCCAGGGCGTGCAGGTGGAGTGTGTGTCAGAGGAGGGCGACCCCAGGGAGGTGATCCTCAGCGAGGCCAAGCGCCTGGCGGCTGACCTCATCGTCGTGGGCAGCAGAGGGCTGGGCGCCGTTAGCAGGTGCGTGCGTGCTGCCCCCCACCACTGTAATCGTGTAGCCTGCTCTCACTCCCTTCACTCTTTGAGAAACTGGTTTGGCTCTCGGGGGTTGGGCAACCAGGTGGCTGGGTTGGGCAACCAGGTGGCTGGGTTGGGCAACCAGGTGGCTGGGTTGGGCAACCTGGTGGCTGGGTTGGGCAACCGGGTGGCTGGGTTTGTCCATCGGGTGGCTGGCTGGGTGGCCAGAACCATGATTTGTGTGGCATCCTTTGTAACCAGGGTACCAGGGGGCAGGAGGTGCAGGGGGCATGCGGAACTGGTTGTTACGGACCTTGTTTAGGTGGCAGCTGGTGGGCGCGTGTGTTGGGAGGGGGGGAAGGGGGGATGTGTGTCGGGATGGGTGGGTGTGTGTGCGTGCACTCCTTCGCCCAAGCTATCGTGTCACAGTGTTGCATGTGTTGCGCCCATGTGTGCGCAAGCATTTCTCTCGTCTGCATGTGTTGCGCCCATGTGTGCGCAAGCATATCTCTCGTGTGCATGTGTTGCGCCCACGTGCTGACGAGGGTTGCCTACCACCACACAGCACAGCACATTGTTCCTTCCTTTCCACAAGCTTGCCCCGCTTGCCCTTAAGTCAAAGGCCTTCACCCCATTCCGCCATCTCGTTTGATTCATTCCCCACCCTCCCATCCATTTGCGCATCTCTTCCCCACACTCGGATCCCTTTGCTCATCTCATATGTAACCACATCCTCTCACTCCCTCCACACTTTGCCTCGACCCCAGGCTTTTTCTTGGGAGTGTGAGCGACTATCTTGTACACCATGCAGCATGCCCCATCGTGGTCGTCCGATTGCCTGGTTAAAGTACAGTCCAGCGCAACACTCACATTACAATTTACAATACCGTATGCCCATGTTTGTACCGTAATCCCCTGGACATAACACCCGCCGAAATTAAGCACCCACTGGTGTTATATTCGGGGAGAGTGTTTTATTGAAGAATCCGCAATTATACACCCTCTTTTTGAGGGTTCCGGGAGAGCACCCCCCCCCCCCCCCCTTACCATTATAAATACAGCAACAAATACGTAATCTTCATGCTACTTTTGTCAAATTATATAAATATATATATTGTTTAGGCTTGGTAGTTGTGCTACTTGCTGGATCCTACTGTAGAGGGGGCAACCCCCCTTCTTGTACCTCGTTCCGTAATGTTCTGTTAAATTATTTAGGTTATATATAATTGTAGGCTTGGTAGGTGTTATTGAAACCTACTGTAGAGGGTACAACCCCCTCCTTGTATCCCTCTCTTCCTAATCAAGATACTCTTTCCTCTCGTAACTTTTGGTCCATGGCTAAACCCTCTCCTACTTTCATGGCTGCCTAGCGTCCTTAGTTTAACATGGTACCAAAGCAGGTTGCCCCTCTTGGGCCTGCTCCCCCACTTCCACCGTGTACTCGCCCTTCTCTCGTCACTTCCGTGCTGCTGTCGCAGCCCTGACGCGCTGCCGTGGCGTCGACACCACGCCGTGGCGACGTCGTCGTGCTGCCGTGGCAGCATCGACGTGCCACCGCGGCATCGACGCCGCGCTGTGGCGGCGTCGTCGGGCAGCTGCGGGCCGCGCAACATTTGAGGCGCCGCCAGCTCGCCCGCACATCAGCCAGCGCCGTGTCAGCCACGGCGCCTTGCTGACGCCATGCCACCTCCCCTGCACCACCCCTAGTTCCAGCCGCATACGCTGAGTCTCGTCCTGGCCGTCGCCGGGCCGTGTCATGCCGCCGGGCGCCGCGAGTTTCGCCGTTGCCGCCACCTGCCGGGGGTGTCGCTGCCTCGCACGAGGGGTAGCAGCCCCTCCTGCTGGAGGACCTGGGGAGTGCACGGGCTTGGGGGTGTTGGGTGTTGGGTGGGCTTGAGACTACCAAGCCTAGGGGGTGTGTTAAATTATATAGGTTATATATAATTGTAGGCTTGGTAGGTGTTACTGAAACCTACTGTAGAGGGTACAACCCCCTCCTTGTATCCCTCTCTCTTCCTAATCAAGATACTCTTTCCTCTCGTAACTTTTGGTCCCTTGCTAAACCCTCTCCTACTTTCATGGCTGCCTAGCGTCCTTAGTTTAACATGTTCCTCTTTCCTCTCGTAACTTTTCCCCTACCTCCTAAAACCTCGCGACCTTCTCATGCCTAGTTCCTAGGCTCTTTCATACTTCAACATGGTACCAGAGCAGGCTGATCCTGCTGTTTCCTATCATCACGCTTCCGCAGCGTATTCTCCCCCCTCCCGTCATGTTCGGACCGCCGTGGCGCCCTGTCGTGCTGTCATGGCGGCTTTGTCGTGCTGCCGTGGCAGCCTCGACGCGCTGCCGTGGCGGCATCGTCGTGCTGCTGTGGCGCCTTTGAGGCGCAAGCAGCGCCCGGTTTTAGCAGCATCCTCTCGCCCACCCGCCAGTAAGCGCCGCGCCAGCCATGGTGCCTCGCTGAAGATTCCCCCCCCCCCCCTTTCCCCTCCTCTGCCTTTCCCCTCCTCCCTGCCGCAACTGCTGGCAGCCTTGTGCCGTCCTCCCCCTCGTCGTCGCAGTGTGAGCCACACCGCCAGGTGCCTCGGGCGCCGCCGCCGCTGCCGCCGGGTGCCTCGACGCCGCCACCGCAGGTGCTGCAGGCCATGCCGCCGCCGCCGCCGCCGCCTCAGTCGCTGACGCCGCCGCCGCTGCGACTGCCGAGGGGTCGACCGGCTGGTCGACGCCACAGCTGCTGTGGGGCAATGGGGGTGCAAGGGTGTGGGGGTGCAGAGTGAGGGGTGGGCTTGCCACTACCAAGCCTAGGGGGTGTGTCAAATTACATTATATATATATATATATATATTTGTTTAGGCTTGGTAGTTGTGCTACTTGCTAGATCCTACTGTAGAGGGGACAACCCCCCCTTCTTGTATCTCCTTCTTTTTCCTAGTATTCCTCTTTCCTCTCGTAAAATTTCCCCTTCGTCCTAAAACCTCGCGACCTTCGCATGCCTAATTCCTAGGCTCTTTCCTACTGCAACAATTTAATGCTGATTACAACCAGGACGCAAAAGTTCAAATTTTCCAAGGCACCTGGGGGGGTTCTCGGGTGTTGAAAATGACAAAGTGAAACCATTCTTCACTTGGAAAAGCGCAGTGGGCCGACAATTTTTGTTTCATTTGTGCGACAGACCTGTGCTGATTGGCTCATGAGCGTCGCAATTTTCGTCCAGTCAGTTGCGAGTGTCGCCAACCCCCCAATCTCGCTTCACTAACCTAACACAAACCTGAAATTCGTGAGCAAGTGGGCAAACCGGGGCTATTACGAACCTCGAGAAAACGTATGCCTTTTCAGCCGGAATGTGGATGGCTGAAATCGCTATGACACACTGAGTATAATACACATCTTCAGAATTCTGTCCTCAAATATAACACCAGGGTGTTATACCCTAACTGCGAAATAGAGCACCCACCCCCCTAATTTGGAATGAATTTTGTACTATACCCGGGGTGTTATATCCGGGGGATTACGGTACCATTACGGACACATGGTCATTAGGTACATGTCAAGGTTGTGCTTTGTATATTCAAGAACCATCACATGGTAACAACATAGGTATTTGTATTGTAGGTAATATGGGGTTGAAATCCTACAAGGGCTGCAAACTTATCCTTAGCAGATCCAGCAAAATTGACAACCAGTAAAGAATATCTCATCGGAGCAGGTGTTGGAAATGATGGAAAGACTTCAGGCATTTCCGGAGTCTCGCGTGAGAGTACGAAATACGTGAAGACTACAACAGCGAAGATTATCGAGTAAAAACTGCTACAATACCACTGACGATTCACACAGGTTGACCACACCTCACAGAGGTTACGAAAGGGCAATGGTCGCAGACCGTTGACTGTACAACCCAACATTCAGAATCAGAATAGTCAAGAGTCAGAGCGACAGTAAGGACAAATTCCTGTCCCGATATTACAGTACGGGTGGTTATCCGAGTCGCCTTTATCGAGTTGTAAAAGGGAATGTACCCCTTGAAGTGCACAAACAGTTAGACTCTTCATATTCTCTTATGTTATTATATAAACCTTGTATCCCTTTGTTATAATCAATCACTTGTCCTCACATACCAGTACAAGGTTTCAACTCAAGACTTCCGCTGCTGTGCTATCAAGCACTCTATTACAAGGACTTAGCATTATGAAAAGATCCTAGGGCTATACCCAGCCCAACATGGTATCAGAGCTAGTCAAAGGCTACGCTCCTGTTACAAAATCCCTCAATGAGTTTTTAACTCGTTTGAAGAATCAAGTACAACAACTTCAGCTATCAACTCAACATTGCAAGACATGGCACCATTTAAGGGCGACGGATCCTTGACTGGATCCGCTTATGCACCCCCAGTTTCTGGACTCCAGACTGAGGCAGTTGGAGCCGTAGGAGCTTCCATGCAACCAGTGGCCTCCTCGTCGGACATGGACCCCAATCTGATGGAGAAATTCTTCTCCTTCATGTCGACCTACGAGCAACCCTCAGCACCTGCTCAATCGGCACACAGCAACAACCACAGCGGGGCAGTCTCAACGGCTCATCATACGCAAGAGGCGTACAACCTACCCAACTTCAATCGTACCAGCCCTCGCCAGGCTTGTTCACCTTCCTGCCGACTACCGTGCCGGTATCTGACAAGCAGTCAGACATCGTCACCATGCAACAACAATTCAGCAATATCCTGAAACTATAAACGCCCTCACCTTTCAACGGGAAGGACTTCTTTGCTTGGAGCTTCGAGTTTGAGCTGCTGATGGATGGCGCGCAAATCCTCGGCTTCTTCACCGGCTCTTGGCCTTTTTTTTAAAAACACGACTACCCAATAAAAGAAAGTCTACACTTATCAGTCGCTGATGGCCTTCACCATCCTCCTGCGCAACCTGACAGCAACGGAGCAGCAAAGCATCCAGACATACAGTATCGCAACTTCGGCAACTCGGCCGAACTGCCATACTGTCATCTGAAGAGCATCTACCAAGCAAGTGACAACGTGACACAGAGCCGACTAATGGCACAAATCACGACGATCCAGATGCAATTGGGAGAAAAGTTAATGCCTTACATCAATCGCTGCTGGGGCTTACGCGACAAGCTTCAACGAAGCGGAGGGCACTTATCGGAGGACTCATTCATTACAGTTGTTCTTGCAGGGCTCGGTCCGCAGTGACGCACGCTGTGCTCCCTCCTACGCACTCATGGGAGAATCTCCGAGATGCACCTGTGCATGGAGCTCCATGCCGAGCAGTAAGACATGGACCTGTACGAAGAAAGACATGCAAAGAAACTAAGTCAGCGACTTGCGTTTTACACGGACGGGCGCAACCACAACAACCACAACCACCAGAAACGACACTCACTTCTGTATTGTCACCGATGCCATATGACGGGACACTCGTGCTTCAACTGTCCAAGGCAGCAGCAGCAGCAGGAGTAGCAGCAGCCGCAGTATCAACCTCGAGCGCCACGTCCGTCACCAAATCCGGTAGCTTCAACTCTGCAGCACCCAACAGCTCCGACGAATCGTGCTGGACAAGACGCAACGAACGTCGTCAGTTGTATGGCACGGACGGATTTATGTGTACCCGAGTCTCTGCCTCACAGTTCACTTGACGAACAATACCCCGCTCCGACACAAACCCGGCTCCAACCAAACCCGACTTACACTGCAATAGCTCGCGACGAACTGCCCGGCCGCCACACATGGTTCCTTGATAGCTGCTGTGGACAACACGTGTGTTCTTTGGTGCACTTCGTCCAGCGAGAGAAGACTCTGAGCCGAGAAGTGGTGATCACCGTCGCCAACAACCAAAACCTGCGCACAAGGAAGGAAGGTGTCATTCAATTACAATCGAGCGAGCCAAATGTGATCCTACCAATGTCACGAGTGCTCGTCGTCGACAACCTCGGCTAGAACCTACGAAGTGTCAGCCAGCTAATGACCAAGGGCATTCACCTGGAGTGTGATAGCTTCGATCGAGAGTTCCGTCGCTACTATGCGAAGGGCGGAATATTCATCGGCAGAGCCATCCATAAATATGGAGTCTTCGTCTTGGACTCTGTCCCAGACCGCGGGATCGCCGACAACGACAGCGCCCCGAGCGCACCCGTCGGATCTCGACCCCGGGTTTGACCGCTATGGCTTCTAGTACTTCAATACCATCCCTAAAGCAGAAAGTACCCGAGCATTAGCAGTGATGGAGGAAGCAGAGGAACGAGAAGCAGAAGAACAACAAGCAGAGGAATACGAAGCAGAACCGCAAGCGCCGACAAGACCACTTCCTGCAAGTCCCATCACTGGGACTTCGTCGGCGCCACCCGTCGAAGAATCTCCGCCTGCACCGGAAGCCGTTGATGAGCCACCACCGGCTGATGCCGAGCAGCTGAAGGCACATCCTCACGAGCAACATCAAAGCGCCACGGCCGTCTCCCCCTTCTACACCAACTCGGACCTGTATTGCCGATTTGTGGGACATAAAGGAAGTGAGGAGACATGGTACCAACGGTTAGAGCATCCTGGAAATTCAAGATTATTCGACACGATCCGTGCGAATGTCCTGGACAAAGATGCGCTTCTACTACTCGATGGACGTGAACTTCGACGACCTCGACGTACCTGCTTTATCTGCCCGGAAGCAGATCTTCCTCGTCAACCGTTCCCGTCGCATCACAACCCGAACGCACCAAAGTACACTCCACTCGAGAAAGTCGCCAGTCACCGTACTTGAAGGACTACCTCGCTGAGAGGGGAATCAAGAGGCTCGTCACCCTCCCGTATGCTCACCAACAAAATGGTGTAGCAGAGAGGATGAACCGAACCCTCTAGAACACCATAAGGAAGCTGCTGACTGGGATACGCCAGCCCAACTCGCAGTGGCCGGAAGCGACGAATCACGCTGTCATGCTGCAGAATCTTCTGTCGTCAAGCTCCCTGCTAAACAACGCATCATCGCACCTG